AACTAGCCTTGTCTCTAAACGTCGCGCATCAGGTTATCTATTGCTGAAGACGCTCGAGTTTGGGGGGGGGGCTGTTTTCTACAAGGATGAGTACCGGTTAGGTTTTCGACAATCAGGTGACCGGACCATATGAGAAGAAGACGTGACGCTTTGCTTCATGTTGCATGCGTGTCACAGCCTTTTCAAAGAGGGTCAGTTGGTCAGTTTTGGAATAGATTAGGATTAACAATTAATTAAGGTTTTTAGTTGGGATAAAAAAGTCAATGGCAAGAGCGGGATTCGAACCCACGATCTTCAGCTTGATACACCACGAAACTAGTGAATTTAATATAATAAGTATTATATTTAATAAGTTTTAATAAGTTTAAAATGAAGTATCCTTTACTAAAGCTCTCCGTGGCCATTTCATTTGTCGCCGAGAATCAAATTGATTACACGACATTTGAAAAATGGCAAAAAGGAGGGAAAATTCAAAAGGTGTGGTTGAGATGGGACGTTGGTGCCCGAGTGGATCGAGGTCACCATAGCTCAAGTGGTCGAGCTGCGGCGTATCAAGCCGAAGATCGTGGGTTCGAATCCCGCTCGTGCCATTGACTTTTTTATCTCAACTTAAAAACTTAATTAATTGTATGATATTAATTGGTCAAGCGGACCACGAAACTAGTGAATTTAATTAGGATTAACGTCCATCCGCACTGAAGTAATTATCACAGGGAGATCTTTGACTGCATTAAGGACAATGAGGATGCTATTCTGGAAGCTGTGGTTCCATTCGCCCCATTTATTGGGACAACATCGTGATAATGCATGATAATACTTCCCCGGCATGTACCTCGAGATGTCTCCCATTACTTGGAGGATGTAGGGATTTGCACAATGCTCCAGCTCGCTCATCTCACATGAATTTCTTAGAACACTTGATAAAGGAATAGACAAGCGTTGAACACCTCTTGTTGATGAATGGATTCTTTTTCACAAGTCGAAATCCGGCCGCTTATTTATTCGAAGTCTACGAGACTTAAGACCTTCAGCGAGGGTATACGCGTTATCAAGAACAAAGCTACCAAAACTGTAAATTGCTAGTTAAATTAATATATCTATTACTAAATGATTTTCAGGTTTTTCGGTAATTTTTGTTAAAACTCATGAATTGCTGATCTATCTCATTTAATTAGTTAGTACTAGCTGTTCCGTACAAAATGTTGTAAAACGCTCGTGCAACTCGGTACACAAGATTTACGCCGATGACAAACTGATATCCTTTTTATTATATTATTCACATTAATTTATGCACATTGAATAATTCACTAATTTCGTGGTCCGCTTGACCAATTAATTATATTACAATTAATTAAGGTTTTTAGTTGAGATAAAAAAAAGTCAATGGCACGAGCGGAATTCGAACCCACGATCTTCGGCTTGATACGCCGCTGCTCTTTTTCACTAAAGCTCTCCGTGGCCATTTCATTTTTCGCCGAGAACCCAATCCGATTACACGACATTTGAAAATTGGCAAAAAGGAGGGAAAATTCAAAAGGTGTGATTGAGATGGGAGGTTGGCATCCGAGTGGATAGAGGTCACGATAGCTCAAGTGGTAGAGCAGCGGCGTATCAAGCCGAAGATCGTGGGTTCGAATCCCGCTCGTGATATTGACATTTTTATCTCAACTAAAAACCTTAATTAATTGTCATACATTGAATAATTTTTGACAGGTTTCTAATTTTTCTCATGAACATTTTAGTATTCGTGGCTTGTCCGATTGGGAAAATAACTACCTACTTAAAAATTGTTTGCCTATTGTAAATAGAAAGTTTTAAAAACGTTTTGCAAGATTTTAGTCCAGGACAGATCTATCATACAAATAAATATAAAGAACCCATATTAACACGGTGACACACACTTACTCAAACAGACAAACAAGCGTAACCTTTTACGTTGTGCAACCCGCAACCGATTTTCTCCTACCGACACGTGGTGCTTCAAACTCGAGCTCGTGAAACCGGAGTTTATGAGTCAGTTCATAAAGAGAAAATTACTATCAATCCTTTTCAACTTCAAACATTGGATATAAAAGAAGACTGTTAATAACAACTAACTTAACTCTGTTTAAGTAATGTCACCAGTTTTATGTTCATATTGTTCTTCAAATTATACTGCCTTCGTAGATTCAAACGCAAAGACCTGATTTCTTTTCATATACATAACAAATACGTTTGTATCGGGGTGGCCAATTCGTACTTGTACTTCAATTGTTCCAAAGTTGAAGATTTTTATGTATTTAGAAAACCTAGGTTTAAATTGTTTCAAAGAAGAAAATATAGAAAACCCAAGCGAAAAAAGGCGGAAAGACGTTTCTTCTCGTTACAAATTGCACATTCACGCCAGATCATTGAACCATGAGCAGTAATTTATGTTATACAATTCAATGTTGGATTTAAACTAACTGGATCAGCTCAAATCTCGGATTAATCATCTATGTAGTGCAAATTATGTTTTTACTTTTCATTTATGATGTAATGAGCTTATTAAATATTAATTACTTACTTTTATTTTAATATGATCATGTCCCTTTATATTGCTTTTGATTTTTCTGATATTGTTCTTCAAAAGACTTAAGCAATGTAGTGCTGAAGAAACATTTCTCGGCAGGGTACGCGTTCAGGTAAAATTGTGAAAAATATTCTTCGAAAAACCCCGAGTGGTTTAATTTTTAAAAGAATTAGATAGTTAATTTAGATGAAAGGTTGACCTAGATCAAAAACCCGACCAGCAAAATTTTTTTGGTAATATCTAGACAATCAGACCAAGGAAGGCCATAAACACCGTTTGTTTAGATTTTCAAAAGAGTTATTCAGTTTTGAATCGGTATTTAAGGGGTACCTAACTTCAGTTGGACATCAGAGGGTACGAAGTTTCGCCGAAAAATGCCTAATAAAAACCAGCGCGACTGCCCAAATCCACGCATCTTTCACGTCTGACCAGCCCAGGAATTTAAGAAATGTTATTCGAATGCCTCCCTACCTCAAGGTCCGCTTTATTCAAAGGAAGTCAAAAAAAAAAAAAAAAAAAAAAAACTGACTGCGGGGTTATGAACCTATTACTTGGTCATTTCAGGTCATTCTGGTTTACATCCCTTGCCTGTTTTGTTCTTTAGGTTGTCATGCTTTTTTCAGCGTCTAACATCAACCAAACTACATAAATTTATCTTCTAATTGAAGACAATATTTCAAGAAATATCTTTTAAATTTACAGAAAACAAACAGTTATTTATTATAAACTAGTAGTAATTATATTAAAAAAAGTGCTTATACAGTGAAACAAGTGCGCTGAATAAGGTACTACTTTCTTAATGAAAGACAGAGGTTAGTTAGTCAGTTAAGTTCTTTGTTAAAATGAAGGAAGGAACTGGAGAAATGTTTTAGAATAAGTTTTTAATTAATTTTCTCTTAGAAAATTTTGTTTTAACTATATTCTATTAAATTTATTAAAACTGGTCAAAAACGGTCCTGTTAATTTAACACTGGCTAATAAATATCATTCACTCAAGCTCGTAAATACATCCACACAGGAAGAGCAGAATTCGAATGCTTACAATGTGCTGGTGGCCTCGGTGTTGCACGGTTTTGAAGGCACCATTTGATAAGCATACTTTCCACAAAATTGCGTATATACCAAGAAGCCATCTGCCAGATTTCGTAGTACTTTTTTTGAAACCGTTGTATTACAGAAGCATTAACTTTTACGGCACAGTACGTTGGATACCGTAATCTATATAGGTTGTATGGTAGGTAACGGATAAAGTTGAAGACAAGTTCATTCCTTTTCTTTTAGATGCGATTTTTCCTGAATTTTTTATTTAACGTCATGCCTAAATATTTTAATGAACTCAGGACTTTATCGTTAAAGATTTATCTACTAATATCCTTTATATAAAGTAAACATGTACGGATTTATCGTCACTTATTTTAAACTTCAAGTTCCAGTCGTGGATACTGTTGATTGACATTTCCAGCCTGCCTTTTTTCGCTAACGGGGCAACTGTGAGATCGTTGGCCACTTCTCAGTTCAATTTTCTCAGTTTATCAACAGGAAAATGAACAAATCCTGCAATAAAATTAAACTACATAAAAATAGATTTGCTTATGAAGTCATTCAGGAAACAGACAGTTTTTATTTTATTTTATGGCGTATAAATATAAAAACAGTAACACACGAAATGATAATGTTCATGAACTAAATAGGATAATATTTCATTTGGTAGATTGTTAGCCTGTCTACTGTTGAACAGTTGTCCCGTGAGGTCCCTAATTATTACTTTAAAAAAAGTTACTCGGAAGGAGATAGTACAGTGTTTCCATTGTCAACAGTATGGACGCACTAAGACGTACTGCCATCACCCTCCAAGATGTGTAAAGTGTGGTGTTCACAAAACACGAGTGCCGAAAAAGTCGCGACGTTCCAGCAGTCTGTGCTCTTTGCAAACAAAACCACCCTGCAAACTACAAGGGATGCGAGGGGTATCAGCAATTGAAACGTCGATCTCAGCCACAAGGACAAAACAACCCCTCAACATCTTCTATCCGGAATCCCAGACTTCCTGGCAAAACAGTCCAGCCTGGAACATCCTACGCTCAGATGACTAGCCTGAGCCACACACTCAGTATTATCCAACTCTTCAACGACGCCAATTATTATCCTGTAACGCAACCTCCCCAACGCGCCAATCCTCTCATCTCCCTCCTCCTTCTTCACCGAATTTAGAAATCTAATCACACCCCTGACATCCCTGCTCACCACCATTGTTACCAAACTTATTCCTAATCCCTCAACGTGATCCCTTCTATGAATAATTCCCTTTCCATCCTACTCTGGAATGCAAACGGTCTCCACACACATACTGACGAACTGACAACATTACTACATGACAGAAAAGTGCATATTGCACTAATTACAGAAACTCTGATGAAACACAAACACTTGCACATAACAGGATACGTACCTTATAGAAATGACCACCCTGACGGTAGAGCCCATGGAGGAACTGCAGTCTTAATCCACAACACCCTATCACACCACGTCATTCCTACAAATGCCACAGACTTCCTACAAAGTGCAGCTGTCTCGGTATCCTTTCAATCCGCGTCTATTCCAAACGCTTCCGTATACTGCCCACCCAATAAAACGATAACACCCACCCAATTTCCAGAGTACTTTAGATCTCTTGGACCAAGATTACTCTCCGGCGGAGACTACAATGCGAAACATTTGCAATGGGGCTCCAGAGTGACCAACTCCCGTGGTCGCTCCCTCCACTCTGCACTTCATTCTCTCCACCTTTCCACTATCTCTCCTGATACTCCTACATATTGGCCAACTTATGTAAACCGTCTGCCCGATCTTATAGACTTTTTCATCTTAAAAAACCTCGTACCTCTGCATAACTCAATAACTACCCTCCACGATTTCTTCACAGACCATAGTCCCATTCTCCTAAACATATCCCTCAGCCCAATTCCAAAACCAAATCCCGAATCTCTAATCAGTGGCCCCATAGATTGGAACGCCTTTCGCACCCAAATAGAAAATTCCATCGATCTAAGCATTTCCTTAAAAACCCCAGAAGAGCAGGACGAGGCTGTGAATCTCTTCACCACTGCCATTCAGCAGGCGGTCAGGATATCACACCTCTCCAGTCCTCCCAGAATCCCCATACCACCCAAACCCCTCCCATCACACTTTGCGAACCTCCTGTATCTCAAACGCCAAGTCCGCTGCTCTAATCACTGAGTTACCGTGACTTCGATCCCCTCAGACACCAACTCCCCATTTCAAACTACAACCGTTCGAAATTTTCCTCGTTTTCCCATATTTTCAATAGATTCGAATCCCGCTAGTCACACTAATTTTTCTTCTCATCCAAAAAAACCAAAAAAAACCCTAGTTAGATAAAAAATATTTAATTGGAATAATTAATGAATATGGTAAATTATGACCACCAAGCTAATATGTATTAAGAATGTTTTGTTTTTGTAATTATTCAATTATTATTAAGTGTGTTTTATGAAAGTGAAACTAATCTTTTTGTTGTTCCCAGGAGTTGCGAATGTCGGAACAGCCGCGAAAGGAATAAATGAATTATTAATTAAGCAGGCAGCTTTGTAAAAACAAAGCTTTGTCTAATGTTACGTTTATGTCGTCATTAATTTAAGTATTTTTCCCGATCAATTTTGTTCCTGTTGAATGTATTATATTGTATTTTAAAAAGTACGCTTTGTAATCTAAAAATAAAAGTAATGCTTAAAACGTGCGTGCCATTATTCAAGAAAATATTATTTTTAATAAGCAGTGGACATGCAACATATAGCAGAACGACAAAGATGATTTATTGATGTGATTGTGCAAGGACAGCATATTTTTATCGGAGCTACCGGCAGCTGAGGTCATTTCGAACTTCTTTCTTTAACAGAGATCACACTCGTCCTGGCAATAAAATATATCAATTTATAATTTATGAAGGAACGTGGCAAACATATAAGTTATATCAATCATCTGCCTTGTTAATTAATAAGAAATATGACGTGCAAGAAAAATAATGTATCGTTATCAAAAAGAACATAGATGAAATATGTTTGTCTTATGAAACTTTTTTCTCCGTTAGTGCCTGAACAATAAATACGATATCGACGAGCGTGGTATTAAAAATAGGATCATTGTTGTCGGCTTATTTGTGAAAACAAAATGAGGAAGGGGCAGAGAAAGTGAAAATCTGTTGAAAAACTACTCTTTTGTTGTGCACGTCAGCATCACAATGAATTCAATTTCTGAGGGCGAAAATATGTAAATTGCTTTTGTCATAACAAAAAAATCGACCTGATAAAATTGTTTTTTTATCACTTGACGCGGCAACCCATATTATTACTAAAACTATTGCTATTTATGGATAAACCAAGTCACTCGAAACAGTTTTTTTAAAATTTTTTTGTAATTAGCCACTTGAAAAAGAAAAACAGTAATGCTTTGTAAATGGATTTTGAGATAAAGGAATCCTTAGCTTTAAGCATCTGTAGATAGGAAAAGTCATTAATATAAATCCTTCAAGTAAGACAAACTCACAAATGGGTTCTCGGGGCACTTTTTTCTCTCAATCTATGAAAACATTGTCATCTTTTTAAGAAAAATTCTTTCTGCTCTAATTACTCTATGTGTATTACTATAAAAGCCGCAGTATTCAATGTATAATTCTAAAGGTAAAGCTGCATAAAATTTGTTACGAAATAAAACAAAAGTACAATTTAGGAAAGAACTTCCACCTGATTTTATATAACTATAGAAATATACTATTGTGAGTCATATGATGATTATTTAACTCTTGAGAATTGCCTGATCATTACTGATAATGATATTACTAGCAGAATGTTTTGGACTTGATCTGAATCAAAATTCTCGTGTCAATGTACTGCCCAAATGAGTATTAATCACCAAAGAGGACCAGATCATGGAACATCAAAACATGCTCAAAAGTTTGAAAATTTTATGTGATTCTGTTCTCGTTATAAATGACAGTATTTTATTTCACGTTTTAAATTGTTTATTTACTTAATTTATTTGTACGGAGTTTGTTCTAAATGTGACATTTATTTTGATTTGTCAGTTATAAGCGATAACAAAAAATTTTAATGTAACAAACAATTAAATGAAATATCATATCATTGCACAGACAACGTCAGAAATTGATATTGATAATTTGCATCTCATCTATTTTAATGATAGTTAATAATAGTAAGTTTGATAATAACAAATTCTGATTTCTGGTATAGTGTTTGGACATTTCCGTCAAGTATAACGATTTTCACAGACAATAGACAATTAGATCCGTTCGTTTTTTATCTCCTAGTCCGACAGCCGTCATTTATAAGACTGCCTTGTCATCGCTGATCCATAAATACATCGGACGTCAAGTAAAGTAGCGTGATTAGCAATGATCAAATCAGCTCACAAAGAAATTAATCCACACTCTGAGATTAACTCAGAGACAGTTTATTTATTTTGATAGTTAGGTTCTTGCGTCGTTCTTTGTTATGTGAAAGAGGAAGAGGAAGAGAGAGAGAGAGAGAGAAAGAAATAGAGAAAGGAATAAAAAAAGAATGGAAGGAAAGGGAGGGAGAGATAGAAAGAAAAAAATAATGAAAGAGAAGCAGGGAAAGAGAGCGAGCGAGAGAAAGTGAAGAAGAAAGAAAAAGGAGGAAGAGAGAGAGAGAGAGAGAGAGAGAGAGAGAGAGAGAGAGAGAGACCCAAACACAGAAAGATAAAAAGAGTGAGAGAGAGAGGGTGAGATAGAAGAAAATTGTATAAGAAAAAAAGAAAGAGGCAGAAGAAAAGAGTGAGAGAGATATAGAGTGAGGAAAAAGAAAAATGAATGGAGAAAGAGTGAGAGTGAGAGAGAGAGCGTGAGAGAGAGCGAGGGATAAAAAGAAAAATGAAGAACAAATAAGAGAATCAGAGAGATAAAGAGAACTAGCAAGAAAGAAAGGGAGAAAGTGGAAGAAAAAAGAAATATAAAGTAGAAAAAAAGAGAAAAAGGGAAAAGGAGAGGATAATAGAAAGAAAAAGGTGGAGAGAAAACAGAAAAATGTAGCGATAAGGAAGCTTTGCTAGGGTCTACCTGTGTTGCTCTTTGTTATATAAAGGTGGAAGAGAAAATGTGAAAGACAAGTAAGAACAGTAGGAAAGAAAGAGAGGGTGACAATAGAGAAATTGCGGGAAAAAGAAAATTTAAGAAAAAATAGAGAAAGAAAAAGGAAGCATAAAGAATTTCCTATTATAATTATTATTTAATAACAATATAATAATTACATTAATTACTATTTTCTCTTCTTTTCTACGACAAGACTTTTTATTTTCCTATCAATATACACCAATAAAATAAACTATCTGTAAAATACGTATCAATAAAATTGCTTAGTCAGAAGAATTATTTCATTTATGTCAATTCATCGGTTTATCTCTGCCATGTTGAGCATAACTATAAACCATTTGAACACTTCCCTACAGACTGTTCCAATATAGGAAAATATGTAACATAGATTATATAATATACCGAAAACAAAGCTCTACAAGTTCATGAATTGTTTTTTTAAATTAACATTTAAAAGTTTTATTATTTTTTATTGATTTTTATTTACTTTTTAAAAGACTTCTTGAATCCTGGTCATTCAGGAAGTATTGCGAAAAACTATTTGATTAATTGAATTAAACGGTAGATCAAGTGTATAAATTAAGCATTAGGTGCATGGTTAAACCGTTAGAGTCAAGGTCGGAACAATTTACACGATATTTATCAGCTCCAGGCTCCATTTTTTAATAAATGATACCCAAATGATCTATTTTTAAACCAATTAAAATCTCTAAAATAAATTTTCTTCTGCAATTCCAGCAATTTCCGAGAGTTAAGAAAATAATTGGTTTCAAAATCTTCATAATGTACCTTCCAATATGGAATAACCTGAAGAAAGATTCCCTGATGGTATTGGTTCGTATCTTGCGCGAGGTTAAATCATAGACGGTAGAATTATATCCGCGGAATTCCAAAAGTTTAATGTACCATCCACCAACACTCCCCGTATTTGTGTAATGAACATTGTGCAATGAAATGGAACATATCCTCGCTGACCTTAGAGTTACATAAAGCAGAGGGCCCGTCCACTCAGGGTAGGTAATTTAGCCAAAGCAGTTCACATCACATTTTAAACAACCACCATAGGCCACTCAGAGTTGCGTATTGGTTAGACTCAGAGAGAAGGCCACAGTGAGAAACAGAAAGATCCCTAAGCCAGAGCAAGTCTCACTCTCCATGTTGAGTACGCATTGCTGTAAGGAGCCAGTCAAAACTACTATTCCATTTTGGTATATTATTAACCAGTTATGAGGTAGTTATGAGGGATGGAATGTTAGAAATACAGGGAGAATCAAAAAGTGTTATGTTTCTTTACCTCTATAGTAGGTATTTCAAGAAGTCGAGAGTCAGGGGAAGGATTTTCAGGATATGCTT